TAAAAAACTTCTAAAGTTGTAAAGTAAATAAGTTATAAGGATGTAATGTACAGTGTGGTGACTATAGTTAATAAAATAAATTGTATATCTGAAAGCTGTTAAAGAGTAGGTCTCGAAAGTTCTCCTTACTAGAAAAACACGTTTTGTAACTATTTATGACAATGGATATTAACTACTATTATGTGATCTTTTCGCAGACTATGCAAACATCAATCATTATGTCATACACAATACACATACAATAAACATTAAAAGCTAATTACATTCATTACCACTAAAATAAATGCTAAATGGAATTTGTCAGGTGAAAATAAAATGAAACCAGTTAACGTCGTAAAAACATACGAATGTTCGGTGTAAAAACATACGAATGTTCGGTGTAAAAACTCAGTGGTAAATAAGTCGTCAAAGTCAGATTCACTAATATTGTAATGGTGATTCCTAATTCATTTACAACTCTAGTTTAAAACAGTTTTTACTCTAGGTAAAAAAACATTAAAAATAACTGCAACTACACTAATTTGTTATTGGATACAAAATATTAAAAATTAATTTTAACTTCAGTAACCTAAAGTTTGGGGGGCATGGAATGAAAATGTAAAGTTTAGGTATGCTATTAAAATTAAATTAGGTTGTTATAAATATATCACATTTTATGTAAGCTTCATGGTAACCACAAAGGAAAAACCTGTACTAATTACAGAAAAGATTATGATAAGACTCAAAGCATACCACTACAAAAAGTCATCACATCACAAAAGATGACTGCAAGATATAAGAAGCAAGGAACATAGGATCTACAAAACAGTCAGAAGGGAACAAAATGGCAATATTTTTTTTTTAAAGATTTTATTTATTTATTTGACAGAGAGAGACACAGCGAGAGAGGGAACACAAGCAGGGGGAGTGGGAGAGGGAGAAGCAGGCTTCCCGTGGAGCAGGGAGCCCGATGCGGGGCTCGATCCCAGGACCCTGGGATCATGACCTGAGCTGAAGGCAGACGTTTAACGACTGAGCCACCCAGGCGCCCCCAAAATGGCAATATTAATTCATTATCTATCAGTAGTTTCTTTAAATGTAAATGGATTAAATTCTCCATTCAAACCACAGAAACTGCCAAATGGATGAAATATAGTCCAAATAATATGCCACCTAAAAGAAGACTTTAGCCTTAAAAACAGCACAGACTGAGTGATGGGACAGAAAAAGGTTATTTCAATCAAATGATAATAGAAATCAGGAGTAGCTATAGTTACATCAGACAAAATAGATTATAAGCTAAAAATCTCCAAAAGAGACAGAGGTAATTATATAATGATAAAAGGGTTAATCCATCAAGATATATCAGTTATAAATATTTATGCACCCAACATCAGAGCACCTAAATATATAAAACAAACACTAACAATAACTAAAAGGAGAAATAAACAGCAATACAATGATAGTAGGGGACTTTAATATGTCACTCTTATCAATGGATAGAACATCCAAACAATCAATAAGGAAACCATGGGATTTAAATAATGCTATAGACACAATGGACCTAACAGAACAGACATACACAGTACAGTCCCTCCAACAACAGCAAAATATACATTCTTCTCAGGCACACAAAGAAAATTTTCTAGGATATGTAATATAGTAGGACACAAGATAAGTCTTAGCAAATTTAAGATTGAAATCATAGCAAGTATGTTTTCTGACCACAATGATAGGAAACTAGAAATCGCTAGGGAAAATACTGGAGAATTCACAAATACATAGAAATTCAACAACATACCCTTAAATAACAAATGGATCAAATTAAAAATTAAAAGTGAAATTAAAAAGTATCTTAAAAAAAAAAAGTATCTTGAGCCAATTGGAAACACAACATACCAAGACTTATGGGTAGCAGCAAAAGCAGTTCTAAGAAGGAAGATTATAGTGAGAAGTACCTAAATCAAGAGAAAGATCTCAAATAAACAACCTAACTTACCAGCACAAGGAACTGGAAAAAACAAAATAAGCCTAAAGTTAGCAGGAAAGAAAGATTAGAACAAAAATAAATGAAATGGAGTATAGGAAGATAATAGAAAAGATTAACAAAACTCTAGGAGTTGATTCTTTGAAAAGAAGAAATTGACAAACCTTTAGCCTAACCAAGAAATAAGGACTTAAGATTATAAATGGAAGAGGAGACATTACAACTGATACCAGAGAAATGCAAAGGATCATAGGAGACTACTATGTACAACTATATGCCAGCAAACTGGACAACCTAGGAGAAATCAGTAAATTGCTAAAAACATATAGCCTACCAAGACTGAATCATTAAGAAATAGAAAATAGAAATAGAACAGTTACTAATAAGATGACGGAATCCATAATCAAAAATCTCCCAACAAAGAGAAGCCCAGGGCCAGGTGATTTTACTGGTAAATTATACCACACTTTTTTTTAGGTTTTATTTATTTGTCAGAGAGGGCACAAGCAGGGGGAGGGACAGAGGGAGAAACAGGCTCACCGCAGAGCAAGGAGCCCTATGCAGGACTTGATCCCAGGATCATGAGATCACGACCTGAGCCGAAGGCAGACGCCCAACCGACTGAGCCACCCAGGCATCCCTCTACCACACTTTTAAAAAATTAATGCCAATCCTTCTCAAACTCATAAAAAGTAGTGGGGCGACTGGGTGGCTCAGTTGGTTTAAGCACCTGCCTTCCGCTCAGGTCATGGTCCCAGGGTCCTGAGATCGAACCCTATGTCAGGCTCCCAGCTCAGCAGGGAGCCTGTTTCTCCCTCTCCCCTCTGCTTGTGCAGGCTCTCTCTCTCCCTCCCTCTCAAATAAATAAAGTCTTGGGAAAAAAAAAAAAAAACTCTTCCAAAAAGTAGAAAAGGAAGAAACACTCCCAAGCTCATTTTCACAAAGCCAGCATTAACCTGATAAGAAAGCCAGGTAAGGACACTACAAGAAAAGAAAAACTATAGACCAACATTCCTGATAAAGATGCAAAAATTTTCAAAAAAAATATTAAACCAAATTCCACAGCACATTAAAAGGACCAAACACTATGATCTAGTGGGAGTCATCCCTGGCATGTAAGGATGGTTCAACATATGCAAGTCAATAAATGTGATGCATCACATTAATTGAATGAAAAATACAAATCCTCTGATCATCTAATTAGATGCAGAAAGAGCCTTTGACAAAATTCAGTATCTATTCATGATTTAAAAAAACAAACCTACCTCAACAAATTAGGGAAAGAAGGAATACCTTGGGGCACCTGGGTGGCTCAATTGTTAAGTGTTTGCCTTTGGCTCAGGTCATGATCCCAGGGTGCTGGGATCAAGCCCCGCATTGGGCTCCCTGCTCTGCGGGGAGCCTGCTTTTCCCTCCCACTCCCCCTGCTTGTGTTCCCTCCCTCGCTGTGTCTCTGTCAAATAAATAAAATCTTAGAAAGAGGGAGAGAGAAAGAGAGAAAGAAGGAAAGAGGGGAGGAAGGGAGGAATACCTTAACATAATAAAGACATGGGTTTATTTCTGGGCTCTAAATTGTTCCATTGGTCTGTCTATTGTATATTTGAAAGTTACTAAGAAAGTAAATCTTAAGTTCTCATCATAAGGAAAAAATTTTAAAACTGTGAAATGATGGATGTTAACTTTATTGTGTTAATCATTTCACAGTGTATGCATTGTGTACCTTACACTTACACAGTGTTATATGTCAATTATATCAATATATCTGGAAAAAATTGGTTAAATGCCAAATTTCAATAGACATCCAAAATTTTCCAAGTATTTTAAAGCTTAGAATTGAAAGTTCATACTGCATTTTGTGTTTCCCTTAACTCAAGTATCTATTTACACAGTATTTTTCCAATGCTTTTAGAGTTATGAAGTTATTCTATAGCCAGACAGAATTATAGATAAAAGTTATATTACAGAGGTCCAACATATTTAATAATTAGAAACATTATTGCTTTTGTTGCCCTAGCTAGTTGTTTTTATTTTTATTTTATTTTTTTTAAGATTTTATTTATTTATTTGAGAGAGAGAGAATGAGAGAAAGAGCACATGAGAGGGGGGCGGGTCAGAGGGAGAAGCAGACTCCCTGCCAAGCAAGGAGCCTGATGCGGGACTTGATCCAGGGACTCCAGGATCATGACCTGAGCCAAAGGCAGTTGCTTAACCAACTGAGCCGCCCAGGCGCCCCTAGCTAGTTGTTTTAATATGTCCAGCTTTTTGTGGTTTGTAATACTTGACTAATGATTCCCTTATGGTAAGACATTTTGAAATTATAAGAACTGTATTATAAGTTACTGGACAGGGTACCCATTTCAGGTTGAAAAAATTCATCCACATGAGCAAGACGGTCTACGGTGGTAGTTAAGAGCAGGGACTCTGAGGCCAGACTGCTGGGGTATAAACCCTGACTCTGCCTCTAACCAGTTGTGTGTGAATCTTGGGCAAACTATTTTTTGCTTATCTGTGCCCCCATTTCCAGAAACTACCTGGTAAATGGGGATAAATATATAGAATTCATCTCCTCATGTTGGCAGGATTAAATGAGTTAACATATGTAAAATGCCTGTTCTTTTATCGTTTCTACTGTTAAAATGTGCATTAATGACATGTGTTGTATATTAGAACTGTTTTGATTGAACCTCAAGTGCTATTCTTAAGAGGAACAACATTTTTGCGGGGGGGGGTTGGATTCATACTAAGGTATTAGAAATTTCTGATGCTTTAAATGCCTTTTTTTTTTTTTTTTAAGTTTTGAGTAAAAAAAAAAAAAGACTAAAGCTTCCTAACTCCCTATCAGATTTAGAGTTCCCACTTCTTACCCGTTTCACCCACCAGCCTATTGATTGACACAGTGGATCCCATTAGGTAAGGCTCCCCCTCCTGCTCCCTCCCCTCTACAGTCAGCATTGTCCCACTTGAGTTCTTTGAGATTGTTAAGTCTTCATCCCACTGTGAATTGTAACGGTAATGTGAATTTTTTTTTCCTCAGATAATACAGCAAACACACCAAGTAGTAGAAACTGAGCAAAACAAAGAAATTGAGAAATGGAAAAGACTCGCTCAGTTGAAGAATCGTGAGTTGGACAAGTTCCGCACAGAATTAGACTCCATATTAGATGTTCTTCGAGAGCTGCACCGGCAGGGGGTGGTTGTGCCGGTTGCTTTTGCAGATGACGTGAATGCGCCAGAGTATTACTAGAAACTGGGATTTCCCAGGACCTCACGGAAAGCCCTGAAGATGGAGGGTGTATGGGACTATGCCACTGTCAGAAGAAGGCTTTTGAAAACAAGTGTTCCAGTGTGTGGCCGGGAAGCAAATAATACGAAAGCAACATTTCAAAATAAATTGCCCTAACCCAGTAAGGAAAAATATTATGCTGTATTTTACTGAAAATCATTAAGCAGTCACATGTTAAGTAATTTATGGACAAGTCCCTTTGTGTCTGGTGATTAGAACGAGTGAGATTAGTTGGAACAGGTCTTAACTTCTAGTCTAGATGCGGAAAGAAAAAAATTGCTCATACTCTGCCATTTTTGACTAAGTGTGTATTCTGAATCCTTGGTGCCAGAAAAACAGCTCCTCTTTCTCATGGAAACATGGAGAAGAACGTGAGCACAGTGGTTTGGACAGATGCAGCGAGTCACCAGAGTAGTAGAGCTTCCACAATAATTGACAAGAATGATAACTTTGTACAGCAGACAGTGAACGCTCTGCGTTCTCCCAGATTTCCACTTCTACCTCTGGCTGCCTCATGTTTGCACCTGACAGAAGTTCACATGTAACAGGGGAATTCGATTTCTTCATTGTTTTAATCTTTTATGCTCCAGGTCTTAAATACTAGTCCTTTTTTGAAAGTCTTAGATTATAAACAGAATATAACATCTTTATTTAAAAAGTAATGTATGTTCATTAGAAAAAATTAAAAGCATGCATAAAAGTAGCCAGATTGTTCTTTTTTACAATGCCCATTTCCAAAAGCAGATCGTATATAAAATACTGGTAAATTCAAGCTGTAGCCACCTTGTTTTCAAGTGTTCCGGCCCTGTGCTGTCCTATAGGAGTAGAGTATGAGGCACATGTTATTTTCAGTTTCCTATTATAGCCTCATTTAAAAAGAAGGAAATGAAATTAATTTGTTAATTTATATTATGTAATATATCTAAAATAGCAGTATAAAACGAGTTTTTACATTTTTTTCCATACTTAGTCTCCAAAGTCTGGTGTGTTTTACATTTACAGCACAACTCAGTTTGGACTAGCCACATTCCAAGTGCTCAATGACCATATGCCACTAAGTGCAATTCTGAAATAATAATAAAGAGTGAAATACTTTGTAAAAGACAGGTGAAATAGATTTTGGTGAAATTATGGGTAGCAAATGTAAAATGTGGAAATTAAGTAATTCAATTAATGTCTTAATGTTCAACATTTTTTATGTCCTTTAAGAGGGTAGAACAAGCATTAAAGGTAGCTATTTTTTATGTGAAAGAATTTTATTTTAAGTTATAACATAAACTATTTTGGTTATTAATTGAGTGTACTTTTGTGTAGTTTTTATCTGCAAACCTATTAATTTATAGCTACACCCCTCCCTCTTGACTCTGTCCATTAGCCATTCATTCCAAGCACAAACATGGTTGATTCTGAAACATAAGAAGTGCAAACATCAAATATTACTATCAGAAAAAAGTACATCCTATTTTGATGAGGATTCTGTTTCTCTTTTGGAATAAGCTGTGCGCATGGCAGGTGTTCAATTCTGTTTACAGATTAAAGATCCCTAAGTACTATCAGAATTATTAGTTACAACTATAAACCTCAAGAACCATACTCCATTCCTTAGTCATTGTCCAAAGGGTCTAGGATGAGAACATAGAAGATAGACAGCACTTAGGCTATCTTGAATAGGAAGGCACTTTTTTTTTTTAAGATTTTATTTATTAGAGTGCACACGAGCTGGGGGGAGGGGCAGAGGGCGAGAGAGAAGCAGACATCCTGCTGAGCACAGAACCCTGAGATCATGACCTGAGCCAAAGGCAGATGCTTAACCAACTGAGCCATCCAGGCGCCCTTGAATAGGAAGGCTTTTTTGAAGAATTAAACTCCAAAAATTATCAGTCCCTTTCTACCAATTCCATTCCCCTCACAATGTCATAAGGTACCTGCATCCATAGGGCAGAAACCTCATCGGGATATAGGGCTTGCTGCTGACACCACTGCTTTTGTGCACGTTCTGATTCGATCTGTTACTTTGAGCCCATAGCATGTTATAACTAGGGTCAACCCACCAACCTTGGGAAATCCAGACTTTAAGTATTAGGGTCCCATTCCATATTACAAATACCCTAAATTTGTGACTAAAGGCCAAGAAGTTGAAAACACTTTCCTACCCATACTACTAAGGACTCTAATTAGGTCAGATCCACAGGTACATGATGTAGCAGAGTTAATCTCAGAATAAGATAGATACTTTATAGTTACATAGCTATTCACGCTATCCTGCTTTGAGTAACTCCTTAGCAATGAATGGTGATAAGAGTGAAGTTTGAAAATTTTCCAAACCTCCCAAGTGACTCTAATTCTATTTTGGTATTCGAACCCATGAATTAGAGCCTTCCTTTCCAGTGTCTGTAGAAAAGTCTAAAATGAAAAGCACATGGATTCTTTCTCAGCACCTGTCCAGCCCTAACTAGTCTATTTATGCCCCTAAAGTCTAAACCATAGTAGGTCCATTTGTCTGCAGGTTTGCTGAAAGCTTCAATCACAACCACATAAATAATACACATAGGAGGAAACATTTTTTCCACCCACACTTGCTTTGTAGGATTGTTATGAGGAATGTTTGAAGGGCAGTGTCAGTTCTCTAGGAGGGGAAGGGAAGCACTGAGCTTCATCAGAACAAAATGAATCATTCGTAATTGAGGAACAAGAGAAATGGACTAGACTTTGGGGAGAAGCAGACAAAAAAAAAAAAGGAACAGGCCCTGGAGCACAAAAGTGAAGAGGCAAGAACACAGCAGGAGTCTGACCCAGTGGAGCAACTCCCATTAAACCTTCCCTGCACTTGAACCCTTCATGGTGGCCTGCCAGTGGTCCCCACCTCAGGGTACTGATATGACGATTAGAAAATCTTGATGCAGGGGACAGAGGATAGTAGACTGCACATGGTCTGTGTTTAAGTCCGTGGAGAAAGGTCTGGAAAGGATTTTGGAGAAGACTTTGTGAGGTAGGCAAAAGTGAAGTCATGAGGGAAAGAATATTTGTAAAAGGGTTAAATTGAGCCTGCTTATTGGAAAAGACTGAGTAGAAAGAAGCATATTTTGGGGGGGTGGTTTTAAGTTACCCCAGCTCCTGGCAGTAAGTGTAAATAATCACACATTTGCATGTCCATGTCTTACCTGTTAGGCTCACTATCAGGGCCACATGCAAGGAGCCCCAGTAAGAGCCAGCAGGTGCTCATTCCCCAGCTTGGGATCAGAGCCTTCACAGCAGCAGAGTCCCTTATACATAGTATCAATACATTAATTGCCTTCTTTTGTCCCTTGACCTTCACCTTCAAATACAACCCTCTCTTCCCTCCAAGACCCAGAGACTAGATCTACACTCTACCACTCCCGACAGGATAACGCAGAGCCTGCGTCTCTACCTTTTCTCTCTCTTGAGTGCCGGCCCCTATTCCCAGTTCCTGCCGGAATTACCCACTGTTCTCAAAGAAGTCAACATGTCTGAAACCAGCTCATTTTACTTCCTGAAACCCGCTGCCCATTCCCCTGCGATTCCACATTCATCCAGAAAGTTCTAAACTTTGACGCATTCTCAACTGTCGTCAATTTGGGATGCGTTAACAAATTACCATGGATTGGGTGGTTTAAACAACAAACATTCATTTCTCACAGTTCTGGAGGCTGGGAAGTCCAAGATCAAGGTGGGTGCATGACGGTTTCCTTCCTGGCCTGAAGAGGTCCGCTTGTATCCTCACACGGTAGAAAACAGAGAAGCAAGCTCTCCTGGGACTTTTATGAGGGCTCTAATCTCATTCATAATGGCGCCGCCCTTACCACCTGATCTAATCCCAATTACCTCTGAAAGGCCCCACCTCCTAGTACCATCACACTGAGGGGTTGGGTTTCAACATACGCATTTTGAGGGGACAAACATTTAATCCATATCGACGAACTCTCCTCAACATGTGGTCATCAATCCTGTAGCCAATCTCTTCAAAAATAATATTTGTATCTACCTGTCCTTTTTCCATTCCCATATCCACCACCACTGAAGCCCGGTCACCATTTTACTCCTTACTTTTCTCATAGAGTTAAGTTTAATTGATGCCTCTCCCCCAGTGCTCTCCTCACTCCAAATAGCCTGCAAAACAACATTGCTAGGTAGTTCTTCCTAAAACTCTGCTTGATGCATACCAGCTTCCCACTTCTCCCAGCTGTTTTTTAGGTGTAAATGTTAGAATCCTTACCCTAAGTCGTCAAGGCACTATTCAGTCTGACCTGGCCTTCCTCTTCACACTCCATTCCAGACCTCTACTCTCTTACACAAATACTCCCTATGCCAGTTTCCTATTTCTGCTGGAACAAATTACCACAAATTCAATGGCTTAAAACAGCACAGATTGATCATCTTAACCATTCTGTAGATCAGAGCTCCAACACAGTTCTCATTGGGCTAAAATCAAGGTATCAGCAGGGCAGCATTCCTTCTGGAGACTGGGAGAAAATGTTTCCTTGCTTTTTCCAGCCTTTCCTTCTCCTTCTCCACCTCTATTCCTTAGCTTTGCCCCCCTCCCTTCATCCTCATAGCGACCTTCCATCTCTCTGAGCATTCTTCCGTGCCTCTGACTCAAAACAGCTGGGAGACGTTCTCCGCCTTTTAAGGGCCCATATGATTAGATTGGTCCCACCTGGACAATCCAAGATGCTCTTCCCATCTCTCCATTTCCAGATCCTTAACAACAAAAGTCCCTTTTGGCATGTACAGGACATTTTCACAGGTGGCTACCCTGGGGTGAGGTTAGCAGAGAACATGATTCTGCCTACCACACTCCTCTCATTCAAACCCATCTCCTAATCTAACCATGCCATCTATGCTAACACCTTGGCTTATGTTCTCCTTTCCATTTGACCATCTCGCCCCCCACCATGTCCTTTGTTCACCACACCAGGTTTTCATGATCACATTCTTCTCTAAACCAAACATACAGTCTGCATCCAATGCCTGATTATATTTCTCATTGTATACACACATACACTCACATCCCCGCCTCCCCTGTTCATCTATTTTCTTAGGATCTCTTGGAGGAATCAGTTCCACGATGATGATAATGGCAGCAACGACACAGCCTTCTCAGGGACTTTGATAGAGAAGGAACCATCGCAGAGCTGCTACACAAATAGGCTTAGAAGTAAACAACTTCTCTAGTGTTTATGGAATCTAATAGTTAATTTTTTAAAAATTTTATATCACGGGGTGCCTGGGTGGCTCAGTTGGTTAAGCAACTGCCTTCAGCTCAGGTCATGATCCTGGAGTCCTGGGATCGAGTCCCGCATCAGGCTCCCTGCTCAGCGGGGAGTCTGCTTCCCCCTCTGACCCTCCCCCCTCTCATGTGCTTTCTCTCTCTCTCATTCTCTCTCTCTCAAATAAATAAAATCTTAAAAAAAAATTTATATCACTGTATTTCAGATTTTAATGTGAATTTTCTTTAACCACAAAGACTCTACTTGAGGAGAAAAACCAAAGGGGATTTCTATCTTCTAACAAATTGTCTACTAGCCTTTAAACACATGATGCTTTAAGCAACGTTAGTGCTGTGCCATGAATAAACAGGATTTACCAGGTGTAGTGAATATGGGAAGACGAAGGGAAAAACCAAAAAGTCGTTCATAAGTGTGAATTTGAACCTCAGATTGTTCACAGGAGAAACCATTATCCAAGGTGGGTATCACATCGACATAATGCCTGAGTGTGATGAGAAAGCTGATTTCCCTACTCATAGAATTATGCTGCTAATTTCTTAGGTGCTAAAGCAGTTTCCTCATATTTGTTCCTAATAAGTATGGAACAGTTTAGACTTTACAAAATCAGACTAAATATATCCCCATACTGCCAGATCACTGGGCTAAATTTCCCCCATAAGAAGGATATGATTATACTCCCAGAAAAATTCTTCCTGTGAATAATAGGCTTTTCGAGAGTAAGTTTCCCGCAGTGGAGGGCTAGAGTAGAGACGGAGGGAACCAGTGGAAATACAATAGGCCCTAGGAGCCAAAGATCATTGATGTCCTTAAAGATATGACATTCTCCCAGAAGTTCACTGATGAGGGAGCATGTGAACAATAGATTAAGACACAGCTGCATAACTATCACAAGTCAACTAGAATATGTTTTGATATTTGGACAATAGCCCATTGGTACTAGCAATAGGAATAATGAAGCCTGAGAGAACTTGGAGATATGATAAAATAAACCATTCTAAATCTGTTGGACTCCTTAACAATATGCAGGAGATGAGCTAGATGTCTT